TTCCTTGGTGCAATTGCATCAGCCATACACTGATCGCAATTGTAACCGGCATCTTCCCGTTGACTTGAATATTTAATGGCATGCACACAAGTGGCAGTTTGAGCGTCAGCACGAGCACGCGTGCAAGTACAAGTAAACTTGTGCCCATACAAGTTTGTAGTTCATGCCTGCATCGAGTAAACACTGGGAGTGTTGTCCTGATTTAAGCATGCAGAAACAGATAAGCGTCGGTGCACAATGTATCCTTCTGCATTAACACGGTCCTGGCAATGCATTCATTCACTTGTTCATTCCTTTATTTTTCACATTCATTTTTTTGCTCACTTTCATCTTATTCACTTAGGTCTAAGGCTTATTTACCCACTCACCAGCTCAGCTCATCTGGCTAGCTGGCAAACAATCGTAGTCGAAAACATGATGTGTCATTCAGCTTCGTGCAGAGTGGTTGAGCCAAAATGGCCTCGCATTAGAGTATATGTGCGTTAGGAAATTCTAAAATCAGAGGAATTGCTTACTTGTCATTTACATGCTCTTCATTTATCGTTTTATGATATGCATTATTAATATTCGATTCAGTAAATTCAAGCTGATCGTTAGTATTTTAAAGTTAAATAGTCTCTGTTTGTTTCAAGTTGTTTAAGCACACAATTGCAACAATTGTTTGATCATCTTTTTATTAGTTTCACTGAAAACAAATCTTGCTTATCTAGATAGATGCCTCTATTTCTTTAAATTCAAGCGAGACATTAAACCCCTTCCTTTTTCTCCAATTGCCCACAGTCGCTTTTCATTCTAGCCATTTAAAGTGGCGGCGCTTGGTTTAGTGTGGTAGCTGCAGAGTTCATGTCTTTCTGCTGTCATCGTGTGCTCACTGAATGCAGGACTGCGTCGCTACCTCCATTTTTCTGTTTGTCTAGCAGAAATGCTTTTGCTGTAACATCTACTTGACGTGTCGGCTTATTACCAATAGTTGGAAGTCCGCGTTCATATTTTAGAAGTGTTCGGCCTCACCGGGTGTCTATGTCAAACAACACTATTCTATATTTCGCCAGACCATTGATGTCAACAGATGGCACATTGCCTATAAGTGGCACTAAGTTAATCTAGTCTCTAAGTCAGTTTAGGATATCGATAACTGAAATAGGATTGATTAACCGCCTAGCTAAAATAATGGGCAATTATTTTGTGATAGAGAATAGTGACGGTTCGAAGTAGTTTGAATTTATTGGGATTTCAAAATATAACGGTATTACATGCTTTATGTGATAATTAGGAGAAATGGAATTCCACTGTTCCTGTCTTGATGAATGCTGCATCTAAGGAGGTACTTTAACCACTGCAGGATAGACACTGGCTAACTTAGAAGAAAACGGGCGAAGCAGTCAGGAGCGAGCAAGGGAGAATTATACCGCGTTGGCCATGGTACACGTCATCTATAGGTATGGTAGTAGTTATAAAGTGGCATTTACGTGCGTGAGCTTTGATCCTGTCAAGTTAATGATCACAATAATCAAGCAATAAAACACCTGAATGTGGATTCCTTTTATGCCAGACTATGTGAATAATACGAAGGCGTGACCACTGCACACGTGGCTGCACGGGATGATTTAATTTTAACTGAGTCAACTCTTATAGGTAGCACTAGCGCATGGTGGTGTTGATCAGGCAGGAGAGCATATTGAAGGCGCCAGCTTCGAGACTTTCAGGAATGTAAAGAATTCAGGCACGAAAGCAATATGTGGGGAATGGAATAAAACGGAGCTTGCTATGTAGTTTTGGATACCTTTTAGCAGTAACCACTAGGATTATATCAACTTCTTGTCTCGTATCTAAAATGAACTCGACACATCTGCTAGGTTGACGATTCTCGAACAGCACTTCGGTTAGGTGTGAATGCAGATAGTGCGGTGCAGAAATGAATCTAATTACTTAAATCTGGTCGTTTAGCTCCAAAATCAAAGATGCATCATGTTCAGGAAGACTGTCCAATTGCACAGTAAAGAATGGCATTTTTTATCTAAACACTAAGTGTATGGACCGGCATGCATAAAATTGCCATTGCAAATATACACAAATAAGTGATGATGATGAAACAGTTCGATAAAATTTACTTCTACCGGGAATGTAGAGTCGTAGAAACTTCCAAACAAATGCATTAGCCCACCTGCTCTGCATTAACAAAGAGCGAATGATGGGTTTCAAAGACAATCAATTTGATGCTCTTCACTTTTCCGACCATTACTAAGGGTACGTCTGATTAAAGAAGGATAATTTGGCCACTGATTTGCCACTGACGGCACTACAGACTAATGATGAGAAATGGCTTTGTATCCCTCATCCACCATGCAGATGGACGGAGTGACTAATCTGCAGATGATGCATTAACTACCCACTTCGCATTTCAAAGCCACGAGCAACTGTATCCTTACAAGTCTAGGAGAAACTTCCCTTAGAGAAACAGGAGGGACAGTCATGACTGCTCAAGCAGCCCTAAATTAAGTTGTCTCATGGCATTGCAAAATCTCAGACCTTGTCTCGCACACCCACAAAAAACTTAAATTTAGATAGTTCTTTTTCCAATAATCAAACGTCTCAGCTTCATCAAGTGCCACAAATAGAGCTGTAGATGAATGCATTACTCAAACGAGCATATTTGGCTTTTTGCAATCAATCAGCTGTTTTACCTTTGTTTTGATAAATGCATTGCAGGCTTTGAAATGTTCATTCCTCCGGATTGTGACTGGGTAAAGCTAGTCGTTTGGATCCCTCTGGAGAGGTCTCGTGAGTAATCATGATTTTAAATTTTGAATTTTCCCGTAAATACCGGTGAGGGGAAAATCAGGTTCCATGCTGAGCGTAATCACCAAAGGTGAGCAATTTTCAATTTTCTCTTTCTCTTTGTCGGCATTCGCTTCCAGTTGTTTGAAAGCTAGTTCAGCCCTGTAAGACGGCTTTCATGCTAATTGCGCAGAAAATACATAATGCGCTCCGAATGGGGCATTTGTTTTATTTCGTATTAAAAGCAAACCAGAGCAATTGCTTTATCACCTCTTATGTATATTGAAAAGTGAATTGACTTGTATGTGCTAATCAACTACTTCAGCTAACTTTTCTCCCAAATACAGGTTGTAAACTAGAGTTAGTCACTGATTTTGGACATAATTTGGGCGGTATGTCCTATTGGAAAAGAGATAAGGAGAATAGCGATGTTGGCCTAACCCCATTGAGCATTGCAAGCTAAATGAGCATAATTGGTGAAAAAACGATGAAAACCAAATACTGACCCAAGTAAAACCGATTCCTCCGACGCCGCTGCTGATGATATTAGCGCACAAAGCTGGATAGGAATTCGCCATTGTGACGTAGGCATGAAAATAGGGGTGATTTCAATGGATTGCCTTGGTAAAATCATGTTAGGTTCTAATAATTACAACGCCAATGCAATCAGCTTTAGTTTAGGTTAATAGTGGGCAGTGATTTACTCACAAGCACATCTAGGTACGGTGTTCATAGGTAATGCGGCAAAATTATGTCAATAATTTGTCGAAATCCACATTTCCTTTCTTCAGCTAATTAAAGAATGGCAAATGTAGCTTGCATAAGGGTTTGATAATTTCGGCATTCTTACACATTTCCTGGTAATTAACACTAAAATAAATAAGTTAATGCCATGATAACTGCACATGTCCAATTCTTGAAATCTCAATGGTAGAGCAAGATGCACATTGAGGTAGCGGTTATAATCCGGAACAATACTAAGTATTTGCTTCCATTATCTGAAAGTTATAACTCAGCATTTCGCAGGTGTATTTTTTTCTCTGGCTGGTGTGGGTAGGCACTGCTTTGTCGTAGTTGCCGGTTAAACATGCGTATGATGCTTTAGTTCCTTGTCCACTCATGATACGAGTTCTAGCATGAGCTTTGATAGTTGCAAAGCAAAAACCGTGTGAAGTAGCATGGGAGGAGCAATTTGCACAGATTTGTACAAATCACTGGAACCTAACCAGAAGCATTATCCGTCCCGGCTATTGAATTGATCAATAACAGTGTAAATATTTTCAACACCTAAACCTATAGGGTGTTGTGATGAAAAAGCGCAAATCACCTACCCCGGGCAGAAGCAGTCTATCCACATCATTTAAGATGGCCCCCACCTTGACGCCCTCTTTGGGTGGATCTGCTGGAAGCTGGTGTACGAGGAAACCCGGTCGGATGGTGGGAAAAGGTCGATGCAGCTCCACCTCCTTCAGATAATTCACCATTATGTCAACGGCTGCTTCGCAGGGGGCTTGCAATTCTGCGAAGTATTTACTTGCCATTTCACGTCCAACTGTTGGTTTGCAAATTCAGTTTTGCATTAATGCTCAAGTATGCATGTTATTCATTCTCAAACAGAAAAGAGTTTGGTAAAAGCTTCAATCAGGTCGGTAATCTTATCATTTGCTTTTTGCTCCGGTGGTAGAGAAATATGTGCTATTCTGATGCAAAGAAGGGCAAGTTTATTGTGATTTTAAGGTTTCAAGACTTTCTAATGCCATCACCTTCTTGCATGTAGGAGACCATCATAGTAAGGTATTTGACCATTTACTTTAGTGGATTAGAGAATCAGAATACATAGCGCGTTAGAGGTCTCACACTATTTAGTATCTTTTCATGCCACCTGTATTACCCGTCTTCTTTCCCATATCCATGACATCTTCTGGATGAAAAGTAACCCTCATGACGAACTAAGTTAATTCTTGCCCTTGAAGGAAAATGACGGTGCTTAGTTGACGAGTGGTTGAATGGGTAAATTCTTCCACTTATACACTTATACACTCTACTGCACTTCACCCGCGATACACAAAACACTATTAGTATGGAGTCACTTTCAATATTTTTGATAGTGATGACTTCTCCGTGACATCCTATGCCCTACGCTTTAGCAGAAATGATTTTCATTAAGTTTTCATTGGCAAAAGTTCTTATCAAATTACATGAAGCTAAATACAATTCTGATTGCAGAAGCGCAACTAGAGGATCGGATGTTTCTTGAGACGCGCCGCTAAATGCGCGGCCAAACCATTTTAAATCTAAAAACAAAAATAATGGGCACTATTGCGTATAAGTAACCGCCTTTGATTTGTGCCTTCTATAAGCTATGCTTCGTTGAATAAAAGTAAAGTAAGTAAAATCAGATTAGTTCACGATGTTATCTTAATTGTAAAATTAAGAGAAACTCCTCTTTTCAGGGACAAACAGTTTGGGCCAGATATTGTCGCATAGGTCTGATCCAACGTGATAAAATTCGATACCATTTTTAAGACAGTCCACTCATTACCTACCAATAGTGGGATCGCCATCCTCTCTTGACAGTCCGCGACAGCTGACTA